AATCTACAGGAAATCTCTCCACCAATCAGAAACAGGGGTAAACCAACCAATCATAACACTCTCTCTCCACAATCCACCAGAATACTATTAAGACCAACTACACCATACACACACTCACCTGAAGACGAAAGGCGGAAAACTTTTAAAATGTAGTCCTCTACACTTGTGTTTCTACAACAGGCAGTTGCTGTCCATTCAACTAAGTTTCATCAGGAACAGCTTTGATGACATTTAGAAACTTTCCAGGTGAGAAATGTAACAATTATAAAGCATTGGTAGCTGCCTCATCCAATAGGTTTGAAGACTTGCAGCAGAAAGATGAATCCAGAACAAAGTGCCAGAAAAAGGTACAGAAGAAAGAAAAGACCTTAGCAGGAACCTTGGCAAGATTTGGCAAGGATTACCCACTTATCTTACTCACATATTCATATGAAATAATGGATTTGTTGGCATCTGGCCAAATTGTAGAGGCATAAGAGATAGGGTATGAAAATCAGGTTGAAGCAAAGTTTAAATATAACTGTAGTTTTTGATGAAACTGTACTCCATCAAATTTGCAGATGATCAATTAATGGCACCATGTTATGGTTACAGGAGTAATAGATCCTGTAGTTTTAAACATTAATTCCTCTTTTCAATAGCATTGAAGAAATTAAAATATTAGCTAGACAACTAATTATACAAAACAAAAGGAAATAAAGTATAGGACAAATTATAATACTGATTCTATAGCTACAATTGTTAGTTCTGATTTGTAAAGAAAGATTGCAAATTGCCTCCATAGAGGAAGAAAGAATAGTGATGGAAGCAGAAAAGCAGATGAATATAAAAATTCTATCAAAAGGAAAGTTAGAAGTTATCCTTGCTGCAGGAGACTTCTCTGTGCCTCATGATGTGTAAGCAATTGATATTGAGACATAGCTAACTTCAAGTTGAACTGAAGTCTATAACTAGAAAATCCCTAAGCAGTACATGGTAATTGCTGCACTGGATGTTGAACTTCTAACAAAAACTGGGATGTTGGTCATTGCACCACCAGGAAGTTTAATACTCGTATCAGGAGCTACTGTCATTGATTCTTCATCTAGTGACTGTATCTTAGTGGAATTGAATGATTGGCATGTTCTAATGAATTGATGGTTGAAAGAGCTGTCCTGGATGTGAAGCATAAGGGTGTCACACTTGGATGTTTGTAGTGCTAAAGGTTGCTGTGATGTTAATGTTGATAAGAATGGATTCCATCGAGGTGATTGTACAATCCCTGCCACAAGAAAGGATAAATTCCAAAGGTAAACAGATGAGAGGAAGGACCATATGCTGTACTGAAAAGAATTAATGATGTAATCTATAGAATCCAAAAGGTTAGATATTTCAAACCAAAAGTCTTCCATCTTGATCATCTTTGGAAGTATGTTGATGTAAAATAGCCAACTGGAGTATTCCAAAGGAGAAACTCAATCTGCTAAGGAGCCCAAAGTTCTTGTGCAGACTACTTTAAAAGTATGATCAAGGTTGTTGTAACCACCTGCCCAGGAAGAACTGAGCAACAGCATGGCCAGTGAAAATAATGGATGAGATGCCATCCAATCTGTTTACCATGGACCTTGGAAGAAAAAAACTGCTAAGATTAGGTGAATACATAGTTCACTGGTTTTATTTTTTGTATCAGGATTTTTCAAGAGAGTTCATAATACAGTAAAGGGGCAGTATTTTAAGATATATTTTGAATGATATAATTTGTTTGTCAGCTACAGGTAGTTGCCTCTTAATGTGATGCTAACTATATGTTTTATATCATGACAAAGATGTTTTCCTTCATTGTGTGAGTTTGAAATCAGATTTGGTTAAATAATCTGTGATTGTCAATGTGGCATCTGAACTTATAGCTTACAGGATCCAGGATTGTAACAGAACCACACATGATTCTAGAGCCAGGTGAACAATATGATAGAATGTCTTGGGCAGGATGCTTTCAACTTGTTTCCAGTCTGTGCTGTGAGTCAGGTGATGTGTAGAAAAGTTTTGAAAGTCTCTAAAGAATAGGTATCAGACAATGACTTTTCAGAAACTTTTGTGCATCGTCAAGGTGACCTTGATGATTTCGGATGTCCATCACCAGATATCAGTGGTGCTGCTAAGGAATTGGAAAAGTCAATGATCTTGAAAACTAATTTAATTGAAGAACAGCAGAAAGACCCTTAGCTTTCATTCCTTTATAATAAGGCCTTGTCTGAAGATGAAGCTGATATGGTCTCTTAGTCTTATTACAAAAGATATGGAGTGTTAATGAGAAAATGGAAACCATCTGACACATCAGAAAATGAAGAGTGGTGAAAGATTTATCAAATTGTAGCCCTTCCCAAATATCTTCGAGATATTATGAGTTTAGCTTATATGAACCAATTAGCTGGACATTTAGACATTAACAAGACATTAGTCAAAATTACCCATAATTTTCACTGGCCAAAGATTTGCTGCCATGTGTCTCAAATGAAACAACCCATGTTTTTTTTCTCTACAGAACAGCTGAAGGGGAGGAGAGAGATGATTATGAGGTCTAAGTTGAAAAGTTAAAGGAAAGGACAAACACTGAAATACAAACTTTGCGGAAGGAGAAGATTATCTATATAATAAATAATACCAAGATTATAATGCTAAGAAATATACTTGATTTTAAAGGGAAAAGGAAGATTCATCAAGTTTCATGGAGCAAAGAAGCTACAAGAATGTTGAACTTTATATGGCTCAGTTTTTCCATATCAGTCCTGGTACTATATGTATCCATTAACAGAGTGGATACCTTTATATACTATACAACTCTGAAGGTAAATAATCTTTTTGAACATAATCTCTCCAAAAATCATGCTGAATTAAACTATAATTAGACTAAACTTAAAATGTTACAATTAAAATGCTCCCGAAAATAAACTTGTTAACAAAAAAATCTCTTGACTATTACTTCAGCTTCATCACGCAATAGCCTGTTGTCTTTTTCATCCAAGAGAGTGAAATATGATGATGTCTAAGGAGTAGACTTGGAAGTTGAAGCAAAGCCTAAGTTTTTTTTTTTTTGGTTTCACTTAGTCTTCTGTTTCTATCTAGTTTTGGCCTAAACACATGGTTCAGAAAAACTTTGATTTCGTAATATGCCCAAATAGAAAGGGTGAACAACTGCAACTCCTTATGCTAGACAAGTGGATAATTGCTTTATGTCACATCCAATGAAATCTGTGAGAGAATGACCAGTAATGTTGTGGCACTATTGGAAAAGAAAGGATACAAGTTTTTTGTATCATTAAAGCATTTATTCTTTCTCAGTTTTCATTTAAAGTTACTCCACAAATTTTATTTTCAATCATACTGTTATTAAGTGGAGTTATTTTATACTCACATGGAAATTAATTCATCTTAGAATCTATGGTATCCTTGTACACCCATTCAGATCCAAATACAATGATAAAACAAGTTCAACAAAGCAGTGATAGAATCCTTGTACACCTAGTCAGATCCAAATACATTAATAAAACAAGTTCAACAAAGCAGTGATAGAATTCCTGTACACCTAGTCAGATCCAAATACAATTGTTACTTCACACAATAGTGAAATATGGAACAAATCCCTTCTAAATCCATTGTTTGATCCAAATATGTTGATCATTGAATGCCAACATAGCATCAATGGGCTTTCATAGTCAAACAGGGAACAAGGTTTCAATTAAAGAAGAAGCTTTCAAAACAGTTAATAAGTCATATAGAAGGTGGGTATGATGCAGGTACTCAGATTTTACTTCATTTGTTAGTGATGGTATAGAATAAGATAATGAAAGTGTCACTAGACTCATGTATGTTTCCGACAAAGACCAAAATAACCAAGAGTGTGGAACCCAATTTTACTTACTAATAAAAATACCTCGAGCAGGAAACAAAATCCTGTAAAAAAATAAGAAATTTCCAATCAATGATGAAAAAATTCAGGCACATTGCTAAATTAAAACAAGTAATATTCACAATACTTAGGTTGGGAAGAATACAAAAATATTTAAATTCTAAGTACATACACTTACTACTAGTTATTGTAAAAGCTTCGTCTTCCTTTTTATTATCAATTTAATGTCCAACAAAGAATCCTGCTTCTCACCAGGAAAGGATTCAACCTTCATCTTTAATACTTCTATGATTGTGTAAAAGCTCAACCATAAAGCTCCAGAATTCTTTTGTACACACAGTTTAGCTCTCTGTCTCAGTGTCTGCTGGCCAAACTTTAAAGAAACAATGTGAAGCCTCTATTTCAGAAATATGTCCATCTGTTCTCAAATATCCTGAATAGGATTAATGCTGTGTTTCCTGAAGTTGATATAGGAGGTATAGCCGCTATTAAACAACATCCTTATCATATCAGGCCCGGCATGGCCAGGTGGTTAGGGTGCTCGACTTGCAATCTGAGGGTTGCGGGTTCGAATCCCCGTCACACCAAACATGCTCGCCCTTTCAGCTGTGGGGGCGTTATAATGTGAAGGTCAATCCCACTATTCTATGGTAAAAGAGTTGGCAGTGGGTGGTGATGACTAGCTTCCTTCCCTCTAGTCTTACACTGCTAAATTAGCGACGGCTTGCACAGATAGCCCTCGTGTAGCTTTGTGCGAAATTCAAAACAAACAGCCCCATCAGTTTGTCAAGGGTGCAGGCTGGGATCCAGTATATATTCTAAAAAAGAATTATTGAACGGAGTCAAAGTGAGTGGAGTTCCCCCAGTATACAACTATCCAAGCCTAACAATAGTTTTCGTTCCTGTACAGATTTCGTAAAGTTAACGTGGTGACAAAATATTATTCATACTCTATTGCTCAGATTGGTGATTATATTGATAAAATTGGTTATGCAAAATTAGTCAATAAATTGCAAAACAGGTGTCAGCCTTCTTCACTTCTGATGTTCTGTGGCTGTATCGTGTAAACTGTAATGCTGTTTGGAATGAAAAATGCCTATACCACCTTTCAACATTAAATGAGTGATGTCACTAATGAGGACAGTGGGATATTCGAAAGCTCACTATAAATGCATACTTCTTAATGAGCTAAAATGGCTACTGCTTTTTCATGGATTCATGGAGAAATTTGTCACCTAAATTTATTTTATGAAAAATCAGCAAAAGAATGAAAAGGGGGCCCGATGACATTACTGAGCCCGGGGCCTGGGCTGGCTCTCGACACCCCTGGTGATAACTCATCTTTGATGCTATGATATCATCATTATTTTGACTATTGTCTGTGCCTTGTAGAGAGGTTGGGGATCTCCTCTCTGCCTCAGTAACATGAAGTTCAATATCGAATCTTGAAATTGACCAGTTTAGGTAAAGACGCAGCAGTATTAATTCTAGAATAAATATTTTTTTTTGTGGGGGGGGGGGGTACTTGTGTTTGCTTGTTCTTCCTTCACTGTTGGTGTTCGGATACTTCAGGTTTGGGAGTCAGTATGCCAGATTCCACACTTTCAAATACAAGATAACTCCTGAAAGCGGATAATCTACATAAATTCCTGAATATTTCTAGCAAGCTTAAATTGGAGATGTTATTCAGCACAGAAACATACAAAGTTCCCTCTTAATTTCTATGGTTTTGCCATTTCCATAAATACTTAATGGATCTTAATCAACTAGAGCAACACTGTCGACAGATATAAGTAAACAAATACTGATATTTTAATCAGTAATACTGAATCCACTATAGTAAGACTGCCCAAAGACCTGGGTGAACGAGGACTTATTTCTTAATCGATAATCTGCACACACTAGGTCAACAAGGGACTGGTATTTTAGTCCATAATGCTGAACCCAATAAAGCAACACTCAACGAATATATTGTAGAAGAAGGACCAATCAATTAACCAATAGAAATGAACCCACTATACCAACACTCTAGGTTAGTGTTGCTGACCTGGGCGGTATCGTCCCTAATGGGCGTTTTTAAAATTCAGGGGGGGCAGTAAACTTTGAGGGGGCGGACAGAAAAGATTGAGGGTTCCAAAGTTATATTTGTTACAATTAAACCATAAGAATTGACTATTAATGCCTTACAATTTCCATTTTAGTAAAATATATTAATAGTATAAAAAATTATTAGAAGGGGCATGAGCGTTCAATGTATGCTGAAGGGGGCGTTGTGGCGAAAAATGTTAGGAAACACTGCTCTTGGTCAACAAGGACTGGTCTTGTAGTCCATATCACTGAAACCATTAGAGCAATGCTCTACTACGATATCAGTGAACAAAGACTAATCGCTATCAAGTGTGATCTTTTAATCGATAATACTGAACTCGCTATAGCAACACTACATAAATCTAAGTAAACAAAACCTGTTATTTTAGTGAACCGACTAGAACAAGACTGTCCACGGATCTGGGTGAACAAGGGCTGGTTGTTGAATCGATAATAGCGAACAGGCCAGAACAACACTGAAGACAGATCCCAACGGACAATGATTGATCCTTTGATCAATAATACTGAGTCCACTAGACTAGTACTATCAGTAGATATTGCTGAACAAGGATTATTGTTGAATCAATAGTACTGAACCCACTAGAGCAACACTATACACACACACCTAGGTAAACAATAACTTATGGTTTTATCTATAGTACTGAACCCACTACAGCAACACTATACACTATTTAATCGATAATACTGAGCCCAATATAGCAGAATGACTATTATTAGAAAAATAAAATCACAGCTGCTACATTTTTACTAATGTGGCAATAACAGCTTTTCAAGGACACAATAAAATTGCTCTAACCAAAAACTAACTAATCACACCTTCAATAAAAGTATGTTTTATTTTATACTTCTATTTTTTTTTATGAATATGTTTGAATATTTTTGTTATACAGCTCTCTTCAGATACAATCAAATATGATATAAACGACGAATTGTCAAACATATTTTTAAGAACCAAAAGTATCATTCTCTATTATAACATTCTTACTCAAAATATAAAAAAATGGTTCTGTTCTACGTTTGTAGAAATCTTTAAGTTTATCATATTGCTTTACAAATGCTGTAACACAATTGACCCGGAAACTTTCACTTTAAGTGAAGCGCCATCTGACAGTATTGCCTCAAAACATTATGAAACTAAAAAGCAGTTGCTCTGGAGCTTCCCATACTTCAAAATATTTCAATTGACTACATCTAGAAAATTTTGAAC